ACTGACTGGAATCCATTCCAGAAGCGAGCGCTCGGCCTTAGCACTTAGTGCAATCCCACCACTTGCAACATCGTGAGCTTCCGATACCGACTCAACTGACACGCGGAGGGTGAAGCGTGAGGCCGAGGTTGAGTTTGGAAAACGCAGGGAGGTAATTGAAGTAGGATCTTGCATGCGTGTTTCCGAGGCACAGCATACATCTAAATTGCAAGTGTAAAGGGTTCTGGCTAAGGCAGCTTGTTGACCAATCTGATAGAGTGTGCGGGCATTGAACGCGGCTAAGTAAGAAGGGAATTTTGGTTTCGAAGTCGTGTAACTTCTGGCTACTTGACCTTGCTGGTAAAACGCTGAGTGATATTCGCTGGGTGGCTCCTGGGCTTATTCGAGATTGAAAAGAAGAACTAGATAGATCGGAAAGAGTTTTTCCCAAATTGGTGCCTAAGGCTTTAGGGCAAGACATACTTCGCGGTTGCCCACGCCGACGATGGTTTTTTTTAGGAACCCTAAACGGAGCCTTTGACTCAAGAGTCTGACCCGCAAGACAGTGGGGCGTAAATCCAACGTATGATCCGATGAACCGGACACCGGCTCCCAACGGGTTACGGTTTCCGCACACCGCCCCGCTGCCTTGCGGGCCAGGCTTTGGCTGGCCGAAGGCTCTGGTTGTGAATTCCCTAAGAAAATTCGCCTGCCTTGGTCCGAGCAACTTGGCAGTATTCGGCCCACATGCAAATCGTGGAACGTTATTCTTTTTATAAAGATTATTGTACGGCGATTTGTTTGGCACATAATCTGAACTCAGATGTGTGTGAAATATATAAATAAATACTTAGCTTCATGCACCCAGTGAGACAAGCGGAACATGGACGGGGCAGCACCTTATTGACTGGAGGCTACCAGCTTGGACGGGCGGTAGCTGTCCGGTGAAATGCGAAAACTGCTCTCACCGTCGAGAGGAATCCCCAGGTATCCCGCTCCTACGTTCATTTAGCGGGTTTATTTTGACCGGTTTATTGGTTAGAGTGACCTCTCCAGGGGCGGATGTGGACAGATAAAAGAAGGCAGGAGGTGCCCAAGCAGTTTGCTTTGTGAGACTGAGCTTTGTCTAACCTCTACCCATTGACCTTTCAGGCATGATTGGATCTACGGCCGTGAAAAGCCATCCTGTGTAGCTCTCAGGGTCATGAAAGCACGGTAGCCACCATACCACGGCAAGATGTAGTCTCGTCGTGTTGGAGGAAGTGATGTTGGAACACCGACAATCTATTTTTATCTTATTCCCATACTGACCATATCTGTGTACCGTAAAGCAGCATGGCGTGACCTGCTGCTGCAAGAACTGGTGGGTCGGAAAGTGTAGAGAGATCGAGAAACCTGAGGCTATAGGCAATAGTTGCAATCTTTTCCGTTTAATTAGAAACACTTGCCGAAGAAAAGTATGCGTAAGTGGCACAATTAAGAGATTCGAGGGCACACTGCTTCACCGTCACCAACACCGTTTTGACCATTAAGCTAAACATTTCGAGGCTCAATTTAGCTGACCCCCATCGACGTTAGGTCTGTCAACACCCACCTAAACTGGGAGGCACGTGACTCTGTCATGATCATCAAAAAGAATGCAGCAGAACACGTACAACTTTCTGTAAGTGTTATATTTAGCTTGCTTTTTTCTTCGTCTTTATTTAGAATTGGTCATATGAATTGTTTATCGCTTTGTTTTCCTAAGCATGCAACCTTCTCAACGGATTACCTCCATTGTGTCCTTTTAGAACTAACTGTCAATCCTCCAGAAGGAATTGTTGCCGGTCCAATTGACGAGAAAAACTTCTTCGAATGGGAGGCGCTTATCGCGTGAGTACCAAAATGATTTCAATATGCTTCGAGGTATTATTGCGTTGCTTTCATTCGCATTCATCTACGACTTCCGAAATGACGGACAGCGCATTTTCAGCAACAGTTCCAGTTATCTCTTTCTGTTTATTCCAGTCGACGATCTATTCTTCTTTTTTCCATTTTACTTCCTTTTTTATTGGATACACAATGATACAATTTTCAGGAAGAGGAAAGCAGTCAATCAAAGGGCTGCCATACAACACAAATGGGGAAAGTCATGCGGTGGTGGTGGGATTCGAATATTCGTCCTCCGAGTCGATAATTTGGTGACGTTACCACCGAGCCACTACCATCCATCCATCGTTTTCTAATTTCAATGTACTTGTTTCCACTTCACGCAATTCTACCTCCAAGCAAAAGCGACTTTAAGCATTAGTGTTGGAACACTGGTAGCAATATAGCTTGTTCGCACTGGCGCTTATTTTCTTCTAAGCTATCGAGCTATTGTGTGATTCCGTAAGGATACGAAAATACCTGTCAAACAGTTAACCTCGGGGAATGTGGTTTGCTAGAATTCGCCCACTATTTGTCGAGTGATTTAACACTACCGTCAGGTATTAACCAATATCTGCTTAATTAGTGAATCTTCGGTGGAGAAAGATTCCGGTACTGTGGAATTCGTCAAAATTGATTAATGCAACGCATGCCAGTTTTGTTCAGTTCAGTTCAGTTTTTACAACCATTAACCATGCACTTTCGTGCGCCGGTTTTGGTTGCTCATTTGGATAAAAGAGCGAAATGAAGATTGGAATATCGAAGCAAATTCAAGCGGAAGATGGGGAATACATATAGAGTGGTGTTAGAAAAATAACGAGTGGATGCACGAGCGCCACTGTTTGCGACACCCAGCTTTGTACATTCAGCTGGAACAACCTCTGCCAAGATATACTTTTTAGAAATCTGTATATATGCTTGCTGAGGGGAACGTTAGGGGACGGAGGGGATGGAAGTTAGATTATGTCTCCGGCGTCCGAAGCGTAGTAAATAAATGGCCTCACCGTTGTTCAGAAATGTTAAACTAAACTACAGGCTTGGTGACGGTTAATTGATTTATGGGTAGGTATATTTCCCCGACCAATAGCTCATAATCTCCAGACATAACAAAAATGTTCATTTAAATTTACATCCGTGATGTTAATGTGACAGATAAAATGGAGGTATGTAATGTTTTACATACCATCAATTAAACAAAACGGAGGATTAGAAGTTCTTGGAGCAGAAAGTCCAAACTTTGTTTCACTCTTTGTCTTCCGTATCCAACCATTTCCCTTTGCCCCTTCCGATCCGCAACACCCCATCATCCAACTTGGTCATTACTCGCCAAAGGTCGTTGCCAAATCGCACCGTAAATATTTTGCCTGCAAATAAAGTGCAGATTTTGGAGCCTCGTCAACCTCTCAATCTGGGGACCTTCAACGTAAAGACTGATGCCATTGAGTCAACAAGCGTGTCTCGAGCGTACAACGAAGCCTTTAGAAGTTGATGTCTGTTGTGTATCGAAGACACCAATTCAGGGTCCTAGTATTGTAAGCCACCTAAGTGCTCCGGCTTCGGTTCTTGAGGTATTTCCTTCGATCATTAGGAGACTATAAAGCCTGCTCACTGGGTCAGCGTGGTGTAGGGATCGTACTAATCTATAACACTGAAGCCTCACTAATCGATTAGATACCCGTCAGTAGTCGTTTGTGCACCATGAGGCTCTAGGGTTCAGCTGGTGTTCGGAAGAACAGCAACACCAATAGTTTGTTCATCATTTCCGCATATGCACCGNGGGCACTTCGCTCTTCCCGTCCAGCAAACAGCTAACGGTGATCGACTACCTCATTTCTGGTCGGATCGTCGGTTGTTCTTATCTGGCACCAACTTTCGACACAGCTCTCGTCGAACGGGGCTACATGGCGTTCTAGTTCGATGGGAAAATTGACCACATAGCTGTAAGCTACCGTTGGCTTGGTTCAGTACGAAATTGCAGATGCTATTGGACCACCTTCTTTGATTCGGATTATGCACTAGTTCTGATGCGCTTCACTCTTCAACTTATCGGTCATCGGCATAAATCGCCTCAGTTAGCTCATCGTCTGTGTGGTTCATCTATCTACGCACGTTATAAGAAGAAACTTGACAAGCTAGGAGAACCGCGGCGTTGTGAAGTAGACCAACAGTAGGATCAAATAAGATTTGCGATGCACTCAGCGGGAAACTTTGCTCGTGGGACTGAGCCGGAAGTTCGTTGAAGAAATTGGACCTCCCTCGGGAGTCACTAATCCTGATAGAACAAAAGCAAAAGATCTCAATCTACCAGGATCAGCATAGGAACCGGTGGCTCGAACGTCAACTCAGGAAAAGCCTTAAGAAAGGTCGCGAAAACTGGTGGGCCAAAAACACCTTTGGTGTCGACGCAATGTTTCCTTGAAACTGAAGGGTAGTGTGTGCTGTGCCAATGTGTGGTCAGTTTTGCTCTGTGGTTGCTAGACCCTAAATTTGCGCGTGGAATATAATCGTCGCCTAGAAGTCTTCGACTGCCGATGTTTAAGTAGGTTGGCATGGGTTGGATGGAGCGAGCGTGAAGGAAATCGGAGGTAAGGCGTCGCGTATTTGGTAGTGATTTGATGAAGAATTGGTTGTCCCATCGAATTCAGATTAATCAGTTTCGTCGGTTAAAACACGTATCGCACATATCCAACCATCATCTACCCATCGCGCATTATTTGCAGTTCGAAGAAACCAAGTGGAGGTCAACGGATGATATGGAGAAGAGACATGAAGAAATGCACGGAACGATCAGGTGGAATAGGTGTCTCCCGTCTTCCAGGTTGGAGTCCGAAAGACTCTGCAACTGGTTGGTTGTAGATACTGAAGGATCTGGCAACCAACCCACAGCAGTGGTGTCATTGTTGTCATTTCTTATCAAGCTAAAATGTTTGAAAAGGTATGTATGCACAGTTTGGTTGTGCACTTTGTGTTTTGATCATAAAGGTCCACCTTCCCCCCCTCTAATTAGACCCATTTCCTCTCCATCTTGTACTTAATCTTTTACTTTTCATACACTGTGAGCTTGGCAGCGATCAGCGAAGTTGGTTTGTCTGTATCTTGCTGTACGATGATGATGATGATGCGGCCCACAGAAACACGCTCGCCACTTGAGATCATTGAGCTAACTACTGCGACATGGTTCGGGTTATCCCAGATGTTCGAAGCTTGTGATATAGAGTAATGCATTTTTGCTACAGTCGACTGAGAAAGGCACCATGTAGAGCCATGGGGAAACACGAGGTATAGTGATACGGCGTGACTCACGGGACAACTAGAGATCCTAAATTTGAATGTAAACATGTGATGTATGTCAAGCAGGGCCATAGCATATCTGCTGTGTCGTAGTAGACTCCCGAATGAAAATTATTAGAGGAGCGTGATTGTCAGTTCTCTCATGAATATGCTGGAGAAGTTCATCATCTTATCAGCATTGCAAATCTATCGACTTAACTCTTGATAGAACCTGGGAACACACAGGTGGGATCGGTCATTTACTTGTTGTTAGGCATTTCGGTTGATGTCCCCGAGTTCCGTATGATATATAAGGACACACTTGGTGATATAGCTGCGAATTGTAGACAGTCGCACTTGTCCATTTATCCACATTCTTTATGTATTGAACTATCGGCATATTCCATACTTTTGTCTCGATCTTTCGTTCTTTCAGTTATCAGTTTTAGCTCATCTATCTTGTATTGATTGTTAAATCGGATGGATTTCCCAAACAGAATAAAAGAAAGTCAAATTTAACTGATACAATCTGGAACTGTTTTCGCTCTATTATCAAGCAATTTACTTTTAGCTTCAAGGGATTTATCACGCTTATTTTCGTTGGGCTAATTGAGCTACTGCTACTTGCATCAAATACTTACTCTCTGTGGTTCTTTTCCCCCCTCACCTTACTATTTTTATGAATGCGTGTGGACGTAGCGGACCCGAAGGGACACCATTCGAGGGCGGTGTGTTTGCTGCACGACTATCTTTTCCCATGGATTATCCTCTATCCCCACCGAAAATGCAATTTGTCACGGAACTGTTTCATCCCAACAGTAAGTTGTCCATTATTTTCTGTTATCTGTATTCCATTGATAGTTCGAATATATGCATATGCACATACTGAATGGCTTCTGCCTGGAAACGAAAAAACTAGTAATTATAAGATCATCAGCGTTATGAATGTGAGATGTTGGTACTGTCTGTTTACGTGTGTCTCACATCTTGTCTAGACTATAGGATCAGCTCGATTTCTGAAGCGAATTCGATGTAAATCGAACACTGTAGCGAAAAATGATGACTCCACTACATCCTATCAAATCACGCTTAAATTCATCTAAGCGCTCAGAGTTGCGCTTACTGTCCTCATATTTCAACAAGATACATTCACGGTTTTCATGAACGGCACCAAGTTGACCTTCAGTCGTATTCGTGAACCACAATCACGTATGTTAGTTGACCTCCATTCAAATATGAGGAGAAGCGACTATTCGCTTAGGTCTAAATGCCAATTCATTTGTTAGACTATTGGTTTGTGGAAAGTTGTCAGTTTGCATTTTAAAAGCATTAGCCAAACCAAGATACGGTTTTCGGGTAGACAACACGGTGCAAGCGACCAGACAAGTCACCGCCCATCCGATAGTGGCCAGCCTTCTGTTGCAACTGGAAGATTACAACGAAGGACATTTCGATTAGTATCGCGGCTTGCCGGATAAGAAGTGACAGATGAGGAGGGGGAGTTGAATCAAGGAGCGATGATTCGAGGTACACTGGAAGCCAAGAAACCGACCAAGATAAAGTATGCACTTCATGGTGTCTGTGCAGAATCTTAGGAGTGTAGTAGGACTCCTGAATTAACCATCTGGAGGTCAAACTCAGAGTAGTTCGTAGTTTCAATCACGCACTCGTGCAAGTGCTTGGCATCCATAGCTCAAGGCTTGTTACGCTAGTCACCAGATAGACTTCCTCGGTGTGCGATGTTTACCGAGGCAGGTAACGATTGGAAGAAGACTGAGAATGACCCAGAGAATACTGGATGCGAGGAAGTGAGAATCTTGACCGGGGAATTCGGCCACATAGGTAGCCTTAGTCTTCCAGGTTAGGGACCTCGTTACCAGCGTGGTGATGGTTGGGTACATTACCATGTTTGGCTATCGTAAACGGTGTCGCTGTTGCACTCACTCACTGTATTTACATGTCTAGTTTACTTGCGTGGTGCATTTCTACCGCTCTCGGTTTTCACTCTTTCATTGTTCAACCAAATGGACGAATGAAACCGTTGCACGACAGCGCAAGATTAACGTTTTTGAATCTGGAACAAATGACGCTATTGAATCCAGTGATGTTCATCCGCAGTAGAAGTATAAATGACCCTAACTGTTTTTCCATTATTTTTAACTTCACTTTTATATTTTTTTTATTACGTATAGTGTGAATTATAGTTAAAGGAAGATCTCCGTGGATAACAAGTATACTGTAAAAGGGATAATAGGAGAACCTTCACGTAAGATCCAATTTATTGATTCTGTGTTTAAAGAGCGTAAGGTTGTAAGTTCGGGGAAAGACACAAAGTGGAAGAATGTTCCAAAGCTTGGCAGTTCGAGGGTAAACAAATTGGAGCAGAAAAGTACGACATCTGGAGACCGAAATCTAATAAGTATGAATAGATGTCTGGCTCCTGAGAAAAAACACCAAAGTAGCAACGATAGAGCATGGACAATAAAACAACTGCCAGACAAGGCTCGGTTGGCATTCGCCATCTTAAAATATCTGTGGCACCGCCGCGACTTCCGGCTGTCCACGAAGAGTTCAGTATATGGTACGGTAGTTTGGCTAGCTCTGGTATACTGCGCAGAAACCTGGCCAGTAAGAAAACAGGATAAAGATAGATTTCCGGTGTTTGAACGCTGCTGTCTGTGGACCATTACACGAATCCTGTGCGGCAGATGTGTTCAAAATCGATGTCCAATGAAATTAATTGCGCTGCGGTCACGATCGATGTTTGTTTGGGCGTGGCGAGTATTGCGGTAGGAGAGGGAGCAGTGGAGGGTGGCGCCATCAGCAAAAGAATGGATCGGATTGACAGTTTTGGAAAGAAGATCATTGACAAATAGAAGAAAGAGGTTGGGCGCAAGTACTGAACCTTGGGGAACACCAGCATTCACAGGGAACGAATGAGTCAGAACCCCATCAACTTGGACAGAGATGGTTGTTTACTGAGGAAACTTGATATCTATGCTAGGAAAGTCGGAGGGAACCCGAACATTGGCAATTTTGACAGTAGACCTTCGCGCCGAACTTGCTCGAAGGCCTTTGAGATATCAAACGAGACCAAGTGTGTTTCTCCGTGCAGCCGACCAGAATTGAGACAAGAGCCAGCAGGTCACCGGTGGAACGACGTTGTCGGAAAGCATACTGGAGGTCGCTCAGTAGTGATTCACATTCGAGGAACGTACGTAATTGGTCGGAAGTGATGGTTTCAAATGCTTTCGAAAGAACTGATTTGAGGGAAATGGGTCCGTAGTTGTTGAGGCCAGAAAGGTCGCCGCACTTGGGAATGGGATACTGTGGGATACCGTCCGGATCGAGTAATTTTTTTATGTTTAGAAATCCCAATGTTTGGCGGATTTTCCTAGTTCCAGTAACCAGAAGAAAAGGGTTGCCAGTGAAATAGGAAGGAGTAGGATAATTGAGTGGGAGTCAGGAGTGAGCAAGCAGTGGAAGGCGAAGCGTTTTAGGTGCACAGCACGATCACATGCATGGGTAAACCATTCGAGGGGAGGGGGGTTGCCGAGTTTGAAAAAGTGGGGAGTAGAACGATGCATACCTTGAAAAACATTTTCGGTGAAGTTGGAAGCAGATTTGGAAGGGTCCGAAGAGAAACAACAATCTCTCCAGGGCTGGGAACATAGGAAACAACGGAAACCGTCCCAGTTGGCGCCAGAATGTGTCTCGAGGCTGGTGGTGGTTCGGGGCTGATAAATTTAATAGAGCAAGAAACCGTACACTGATCTGATGAGCCGAGAGAAGGAAGAGTATAAATATTCGAGAGGAAAGAAGCGGCCGAAGTGCGAATTAGGTCGAGGGTATGGGCACGATCGCCAGCTCAATCAGGGACACGTATGAGGAGGTCAACTAGTTGGCTCATGTTGACCAAAGCGAAATGTTCGGTTTCGCGCCCCAAAGACGAAGTAGCAGATGAATGGGTCAACCAATCCTGAATATGAACATTGAAATCTCCCGAGATGGTAACATGACAATTGAGGCGGTTGCAGCTGAATGTTCAATGTTCGAAGATAAAAGGTCAAAAACGGAGGAGTTGCCACTATTGGGGGAACGGTATAAAGCCCAAAAGTAATGATTAAAGAAAGGAAGTCGGAGCGTCAACCACATCAGCTGAAACTCACGATTGGAAAAGTCAAAGTTTGGGATCCTGGAGTGGGCGAGTGATTGGTGGATATGAGCGCAAACACCAGTTTTGAGTAGAAAGGAGGAGTGGAAAGTATAGTTTGCTACTTGAAGGTGGGTGGTGTCTAACGAGGGGGAGATTTGTGCTTCTGTCAAAAAAGGACGAAACGAGATGAAAAATGGAGAAATTCGTGTACAGAATCAATGTTGTGGTTCAGTCTGTGAGTATTGGTGAGGATGATGAGTACGTGATTGCATTGCGAGTGCATAGAGCGAGAGAGAGAGCGTGATTTTGTGTCGTCATATTCATGTCATGTCAAGGAAACTGGTAACCACGATCCTGAGACTTGAAGTGGCGAACCGCATATGGTTTTACTAGATTAGACATGGTATTGAGTGAGGCGACATCAGAGCCGCCGAGCACTATAGGGGAGTTTCACTCAACTAAAAATAACCCTAATGTGGACAAAACGCATACGTCCAATAAGTCATGTCAAGAAACGCGTTATGCACCCAAACGGTGAATTTTGTGTTTGCATTTGTATAGACTTTTGCGTGAACAAATGTCTGCACTTCAGTCAAAAATTACACATCTCATTAAAAGAAGGAAATAGTATGGGTAAAACATCTAACCNAGCAGCATTTGGATAGATCATGTAAAGAGAGGATTTTCTATGCAAATGTTCCACATGCGGACAAGTGAAGTTCACACAGTTCTTTAGACAGATCATCAACGGGTATAAAAGACAACTGATGATCGACAAACTTCGGTGAAAAATTTTGAAGTCTTTCTTGAGTAGACCCGCAAAACCCACCGGGGAACAACAAAGAAGAACGGGAAAACACATTGATAGACAAAAAGCGAAATTATTTTTTGTTTGGCGCTGANCTCAATTGAAAAGATAATCTGCGAAATTCCTGTACAGCGTTGAAAATATGGGATTTCCACTTTAAGTATTTTAAATACTTCACAGAATCTACTCTAGTTAGGGGATCTGTGTTTATGACCGAAGAGTCACGGGGATAAATAGATCGAGAGAGAGAGTGAAAGTGCATTCGAAATTAAGAGACAGTCCACAACGAACGGAAAATTCGTGGATATTTTGAGCGAGTTTGGGGATTCGACTCGGCGTTCACAATATGGGGATGCAGACAGTGTCTTTGATCACTTGTTATCCTGCCAATAAACGAATCACATGCGTTAAGATGTTTGGAGATAAAATGCTCATCTAAAACAATCCGATCAATTCCACTGTATCTGTATCTGAGATCTGGAAAGCAAGGTGATCTTTGTGTTCTAAATCAGGGAGCGGTATACATAGTAAGGAAAGATGCATGCGACCTGTATGCATGAAAGAACATTCTTTGAACTTTGTGAAAGCGTTAATAACTGAACAGACCAGGGCAGGTTATGGATGAACGTGACACAAAATCCGATTTCAAGATAATTTGACTATTGACTATAAGGTCAATTTAAGATTTTACAACCATTAGCCATACACTCGTGCGGCGGTTTTGGTTGTCTTTCAGTTGCTCATTTCGATAAAAGAACAGAAGAAGGATTAGAATATTAGATTCATGATCAGAAAGAAGGGGTTGCAAAGGTGATGAGGGATTCACGAGGGCCACTGTTCATGATACTCACTCAGTGACGCCAGCCACCGGTTACCATGATCTCGAGGTTGCCTAACGCGACCTATATGACCGAGTCACCTGGTTAGAATTTTCGCATCCTCTTGCCAGGCCTTAATTTGACCACCCTTGACTTTTTACCATCAACTAACTAACTCCCCAAACAACGCTCACCTTGGCTATGAGTTTTTGATGCCATACTTGACACATGTCCTAACCAGCGTAATCAATGGGGGTCGACCACGTGCTTCAGTGGCCGATCCGGGTTAAAACTTGTACCTATTCCTTTACATTCTGTTTCGTGTTACTAACAGGGTCGCTTGCTTCCACCGAACAATGAAGAACTATCTGGCACCTTCACCTATGTGGACGACATTACGATCTACAGCCCCAATTCTAAATAACAAGATCAGAACATGGAGCGATTTCTACGAGTATCGGGAAAGTACGGTTTGATTTCTAGCGAGCGTAAAAGCATGATGTCTGCAAGATAAATAAAGATATTGGAGTTTGAAGTTTCAAAAGGTATCATGAGACCAGATTCGGTAAAAGTGACACCACTTCAAGAGTTAACCGCTTGCTAAGATCTCAAAACAAGTATGAGTACCCCAATTTTTCACCTATCACTCCCAATGGGTCTCTCACTTTCCAGACAATAAAAATGCACTA